TTCTATGATTCTATGTTTTTCCTAGATGTGCGTCTGCTCACAGTAGGTTCAACATGGCTATTACTGCTTTTGTGTTTTCGTGAGATCCCTAGGGAGATGAAGAGGGAGTGTCGAAATAGAGAAAGTGGATAGTAGTGGAAAATCTCACTGGCAACATCTTGTTTTGCCTAAGGCAGGCAGGATTTGAAGGTGTAAGGAAACCCCCAGATTCACCGAACGCGGGTACATGAAACAGTTGTAACATGTGCAAATCAATATGGTAAGGGTCTTAAGAACACCATGTCAAAAGTGCTGCTCTATTAATTTTAACTGATTCAGATCAAAGGAGCGGTAAATGCAGTCACCTGAAATGGGCTGTTGTCATGCTGCAGAGGAAACATAAAAAACAACCACAGGCCAAGGTTCTGGAATCAGCAAGTTGTCAAGCTAGCATCTGGTATGAGAAGGGAGTGACTCTTACTGTGTGTATAAAGGAATAATAGAGATGAGTCAGAAATCGTTGAATCCACTTTTCATGTAGCTGCTATAATAATACAATTAAATTTCTGCTTCTTATTGCAAAACTTCCAGCTTGGAAAAGTGTTTTCAATAGATAATCAGACCAAACAGTAGTAGATTTAGCTCATTTTCCTCATTTCCTCACCCTGATATCATAAAGAGAGACAACAAACTGGCAATATCAGCAGTTACTTGGCCACATCATGGGAGGGCTTTCTTTGTGCCGGGGCAGGTTCATCAGAGTCCTGCAGAGACCTCTCCTGCTCTTATGTTCCAACTCCAGCAGTTTTCTCTTTTCCCAAGTCCAGCTGTTTTTGAAATCAATGTTTTCTCCTAAGAAAAGCAAATCAGATGGACACCTGTAGTACCTGTTATTGCTAAGAGGTATGTCAGAGAGCTGACTTTATTTTGTAATTCTTGTTCTTTTTAGGTTAATGCTGGTCCGTTAGCATACGCAAGAGCTTTCTTAGATGACACAAACACCAAAAGATATCCAGACAATAAAGTAAAGCTGCTAAAGGAAGTTTTTAGGTATGTTTTTTGAAAAGGGGGAAAAAAAATTACTTTTTAAAAAACCCGATATCTTAAGAATTTTTTTAAAAGCTTAACTTTTATAGTACTCTGACTGTATTAAAAGCATACATTAAAAATGCCAGCTTAAAGTATCTTTTTGATTTTACATTCCTGATTGAAATCTGGTTTTTACTGCTTTATCTAAACCAGGCAATTTGTTGAAGCTTGTGGGCACGCTCTGGGTGTAAATGAACGACTTATTAAGGAAGATCAGCTGGAATATCAAGAAGAAATGAAGGCCAACTACCGAGAAATGGCAAAAGAGCTTTCTGAAATAATGCATGAGCAAGTATGTGCTGAAATAAAATTATACATACCAGCATTCAGAATGTAGCTGTAATGTCCACCCGCTGGGAAAAGTGTCTGTGGTGCTTTACGCAAGAGGATTGTTTCTTTTTTCTTATTGGAGTATAAGCATATCATGGAATTGCGAAACTTCTCCCTGCTTGTGAGCTTTCTGTTGATGCTTTCTTGACCTTCAAAATTAAGTCTTCCTCATCAAAAAAGTAAATCTGGTTGGCACCAGCCTGGGTTGTTTTTAGTTGTGGTTTGGTGGGTTGTGTTTTGGTGGGTTTTTTTTTTGTTTGTTTGCTTGTGGTTTTTTGGTAGGAGAGCAAGACTACAGCAAAGATGAAAAAAATGTAGTGATACGAGTATGTATGTCACTTATACTTCATATGTGTATTTACCTGGGTCTTTATTCAGTGACCCAAAAATCTCATTTTTAATCTCTGCTTCCTGATAACTGTAGGGGGAGGGTTGACCTGCAAGTTTAGCCCTTTCTCTTCAGACTTTGGAAGTACAAGCATTTACTTCTGCAATAAAGAGTTAAACATCTTTCAGGAGGTATTCCAACACATTTTCTTGAGAGGAGTCCACTAGACAGGCAAGGTGGAGATGTGGGAGAAGGAAAACTATAACTCCAGTGAAATGAGATGTAGGTCCTTGCATTTGGCAGCTATGGGAGATGTGTCTGACTTCAGAGGCGAGGATGTTACTTCTAGGAAAGGAGGAGCTGAAGGTTCATGCTTGATCCCTGCCTTCTTGACATTTTTATTAATCGTATTCATCATGTCAGGTTCCTTTACTTTCAGCGCTGTTATTTGTATGTTTTATTTCCCAGAGCCGTAGAGCGGCTCATTGTTCTCAACCATCAAGACTTGTAATTCTGGCCCAAAAGAAATACTTGCTTTTTCTGTAATATTTTACCTTACAAATATACACGTCTATGAGACATTCTTATATATATCCGTAGCATAGCTTTGGACCATAATAGCAACTTTTCTTAGTTTAGGAACCAGTGCATCCTAGTCTGGATAACCAGTTGATACAAAGAGGAGTTTGTGAGTTTCTCTTGTTCATGCAAAAACGAATAGGCTATACTCAAAAATCAAATGGTACAGGAAAAAAATCAAGCTTGAAACCTTCCTGAGGTGCTCAGTCTAGCTGACGTTTAAATGCTCTGTTAATCTTCCAGCTCTTTTTTCTTTTCAGGACTGCATCCTGTATTTGTACAGTGACTTTATCTGTTTACTATGTTTTGATCTTTTTTTTTTTTGGTTCAAAAACGCACCAACAGTCTAAAGTTCACTTCACGCGCGATCTTGCTCTCCGTTTTTTCTGGGTGTGTTTTTCTCAGGTACCATGCTATGAGTAGCTATGTGCTGTACGTAAGTATGGTGAAACACAAGAATACAGCAAGTGCGTAGCTTTATTTTCTTCCTCTTATTCTTTTATTATACCATCGCAGGAAAAAGCTTCCCACAAAACTAACTTTTTTTTTAACCGCCAGTGGCAGACAATATCATGAAACAGTGTTTGTAGGGAGTGGTACCGTTTTGTCAGAATTCACGTGTTGGTTGGTTGTTTTGGGTTTGTTGGTTTGTTTGTGTTTTGGTGGTGGGGGGTTTTTTTGTTTTTTTTTTTAAAAAAACAGTGTCTTTCAGGTATGCATGTAGTGGAAACCAGTTTTGAAAAATCCCTGGAACAGGAAAAGAGATTGCTTAACTGGCCAAAATGAAAGAGTTTGACTGTATTTCAATGTGGTGTGTCAAAAAGCAGAAGGCAGAGGAGGGTTTTAGAAAGGACCGTACCTGACTGAAAGCTGATTAAGATGTAAGAGGTATATAGGAGAATGACAGCTGTACAGAAGAATCCTTCAGAAAATGAGAGAAATGTTTTGGTTAAATAATTTTATCATAAGGATAATAAATTAAATATTACTATTTCCCTGGCATAGGAGAAAGTAAAAGGATATAATGACAGTTTGTACACGAGAAAAAGTACTTTAAATTCAATGCAAGATATGTAAGTACAGCACTGATTGCAGTAATGTGTACTATTAGCCTACCTCTGCGTTGTTTGTATAGAATCATAGAATGGTTTGGGTTGGAATGGACCTTAAAGATCATCCAGTTCCAACCCCCCTGCCATGGGCAGGGACACCTTCCACTAGACCAGGTTGCTCAAAGCCTCATCCAGCCTGGCCTTGGATATATTTATGTGTAGTTAGTTATATATAGAAATGTAGTTAGCTGTAAATAATTAAAACATGCTGTGTTGTTGGGTGGTTTGGGTTTTTTTAAAAACTAGATTGATCACTCCCCTAAAGGTTTAGAATCATGAGGCTCTTCATTGAAATCTTTAAAAATGTTACCTTTGTGTGCCTGCCTGTTGCTCTATTTGGAAAAAAGCTTCTCACAATGTTTGTTCTAATGTCACTGAAAAAACCCCAAAACTATTAGCTGTCTTACAATAGTGTGGATTTTAAACAATTGCAAAAGTTTTGTTATGAAAAAATATAGAAAAGAATCTTAACGGTTTTTCTTTTTTCTCCTCTGCTGCTTGCCAATATGATCAGATGGGATGGTAATTAGTTTTCTTTGCTTCTGCTTTTATTTTTTCTACTTTTATATAATTCCTTTCTTTCCAACATTTCTAATCTTAACACCAGTAAATTTAAAGCTCTTAAGAGTAAATCTTTTTGGTGCTTCAGTAGCTTTTGACAAGAAATGCTCAAATCATGCCTCTAAGTCCAAAAAAAAAAAAAAGGACAAAAAACAATCCTTGTGAAACTTCTTTTCAAAGTTGTTAAACGAAACGCGAGAAGCTATTCCAGCTTCCCGTGGAGAGGACAGGCTAAGACCTAAATGAGGAGAACTGGTGTTGAAGATATAACTGCTGCCCTTGTAAATCTGATAGAGGATGGCTGAGAAGAGGAACCATCCCCCACAAAAGTTCTGTGCAATTGAGAAAGTCCTAGAAAGCTGAGTTGCTAAGTGGCACGTTATGAGGTTCCTTAGCTGTTTTATAAATGCTTGTGTCATTTTGTACTGTTTTGGTAAATACATCTTTTCCATTTTAAGATTACTCCGGTCGAAGAAAAGGCCAGCGTTATGCCTAACTCGCTACACATTTTCAACGCCATAAGTGGAACTCCAACAAGCACAACGGTTCATGGGATGCCCAGCTCTTCTTCAGTTGCATGATTGTTTTGTAAAAGGAAAGTATGTTGGTTTGGGTTGGCTTGGTTTTGGTTTTGGGTTTGTTTTTTTTTTTTTAAGTATGTGAATTTGCTTCATTGTGTGCAAACTCAGGACGATTTTGAAGCTAAATGTAGGGCACATGCAAGCTGCATAATTCTGAGCACACTTAGCAAATAGCAAATATTACTGGTAATAGTCTTTTAGCGTAAGGGAGGTGCACATAGGTGTTTTTTTTTTTTAATTTTGCTAGGAACATTTGAAAGTATTCACAATGTCATTGCAGAAGTGCGTGTTGGAAAATTACAAAGTTGAAGTTAATTTCTCTTTTTCATTAGAAAGTATTATTGAAATGAATTGCACATTACAAAAAAAAAAAAAAAAAAAAAGTGTTGTGGGATGTAATTTTGCAGATCCGTAACCTTCAGGTGTTCTTTTTGTCTATGGCACATAGGGATTGATTCCAAGTACAAAAACTATTTTGGGGCTAGACAGAGACACTAGTTTTTTGGGTTTAAGGGAACTGACAACAGTAGTTTTTGTACCATTTGGCAAGTTGCTGTGCTTTATTTTATACCTTGTTGCATTTTGGAGGTATGTGAGCTTAGATCTTATTAAACAACTAAATTCAACCAAAGGTCTGTATTAATGAACACCGAGTTATACTAAAATATCAATAGTAGTAAATTGTTCTGTACATATTGTTTGTTAATACAGCCCGTACAGTCTGTACATAAATGTATTACATTTCTAAGCATTTTTTAATATTCATACCAGCTCTTATCCTTCTGCTTTCAGTTTATTGTGAAAATTTGCTCATTCCAAGTATATGCAGACTTTACAGTTCATTTATTCCTGTATATAAATAAGTGCAATATAAAGATGTATACAGTCTTTGCTATGTTAGGTTTATATGCAGTTATTAAAAGGAAAAAAACCTTTTTTGCCAAAGCAATGGATTATGTAATTGGTGGTCATGGTTACTGTGGTAAATGGTGGTATAATTTAAAGCTTTTTCCATATTCTTATTCTTTTATGACATTAATTTAGTAATTTTATATTTGGGGAAAATAAAGGTTTTTAATTTTATTTAACTGGAAGCACTGTCCTGCTGTAATTAAACATTCTGTACTACATCTATATTAAAAGGAAAAAAGTAGTTACTTTTCTCACTGTGTGCTCTGGCTTTTATTTTAGATAGTACCTGAGAATGGGGAAAGATGAAAGCGTGATCAAAAAAATGTGGCTTTTCTGCTGCTGAAGTATGAGGTGCAGACACTTCTAGGGTGTATTCCATATTCCTGGTCAATAAAGGGAATTTAGGTTATTAGTTAAGAGATCAGTTTTGGATCCAAGCCACATGTTAGAATAACTATCACCAGTACAGTTGATGTTAGGAGATCTTCAAGACTTTCCATCAAATGACAGTAGAAATCATCTTTTCCTTATGACATAAGGTTTACTGTCATTTGCTGGAGTGCAGCATGAAACTTATATGATGCCATTACTCATCAAAGGTTTTACCAAACAGCTCATCCTGGCAGAGAAATGCTGGATAACTTTGCTTTTTCCAATTCTGTTTCCAAAACAAAATTCCTGTTTGTCTGAAATTCTTTTCCTTAAAAAAAAAAAAAGGCAGCAAACCCAAATAAATACTTCCAGACAATGAACCCATAATGCTGTGATAAGAGGCAGTCTGCTTTTCCCCACTCCACCCTCTACGCTTTCACGTTTTTGTTTGTTTGTGAAAACGGGTGTAGGAATATTTTGTTACGTATCAATGTCGTTAGTTATTATTAGCAGCAAATACCCTGTAAAGTTGTTTTGCCGTTCAAGAAGATTTCTACATCAATATATTCATAGAAGTTGTGTACATCGTGGTGGCTTCTTGGAATTTCCCCACTTCCCCTTCACCCTGGGAGCAGCACTGGCAGTTTCCTGCAGCGGCACACCGCCTTTTGTCAAACTGGGTTTGACGGAGTTGTATCTGCTAACCAGCCTACAGATGTAGTAAGTGTTCATAATTGGATGTGTATCTAGGTATATTTAAATAGATCTAAATATGTGTAAATGTTGTACTTACTTGCTGGAATTTGGGTTATGAAAACAGTGAAATGAAGTTGACAAAAGGTTGACGTAGGTTTACATTGGGTAGTAAACAATGATTAGCACATGTTCAGCTCTAAGTGTACAGACGCTTTGTTTATAATCTTACATGATGCCTTTGCATGAGAAAACACACCCTCTAATGTATTGTTTTGGTTTTAGATATGCTAAGATTATAATTGTTGGGGTTTACTTCCTGTATAATTCATTCTGTACCAGCCTCCTTTTTCTGCTGTTATTTCTGCAACATGTAAATTAACTATCTAATATGGGTTATTTTATTTATAAGGACTGGGGCTCTGTACTAGTTTTGTCTGGGACAGAGTTAATTTTCTTCATAGTAGCTGGTGTGGGGCTGCGTCTTGGATTTGTGCTGGAATCAGTGTTGATAGCACAGGGATGTTTTAGCTGTTGCTGAGCAGTGCTGACACCGGGTCAAAGCCTTTTCTGCTTCTTACACTGCCATGCAAGTAGTAGGCTGGGGGTGCTCCAGAAGCTGGGCGACGACACAACTGGGACAGCTGAGCCCAACTGACCAAAGGGATATTCCATACTTGGCAACAAAGACTGTCGAGAAGATTTCCTGGGGCAGCAGTTGCTCAGGCACTGGCTGGACATCAGTCGGCTGATGGTGGGCACTTGGGGTGGTTTTGGTTTTGGGGTTTTTTTTCCTTGGTTTTGGGGGGTGGGGGATGGGTGTTGGGTTTTGGGTATTTTTATGTATTAAGCCCACAAGTTTTCCCACTTGTTCTCTTGTGATTCTTTCCTCCATCCTGCTGCAGGGGAGTGAGTGAGGGACTGTGTGAAGTTAAACCACAACAGGTTTTTGGTACCCAGTGTGGGACGTGAAGAGTTTGAGATAACAGATTTGACCGTGGTGTGGGAAAGGGAACTTAATAACTATTATCTATTTAACAGTTACTGGTTGCAGTATTGATTTGCTGATTCTTGGCATTGGTTTATCAGATCAATGCCACCGTGCTCCTTCTATTTTTTTGTGGTACATCAAATCTGAGAGTTTGTTAAAGGCTGTACTTCTCTTCAGGCATTTGCTGTGCAGTGTAGCACTTGGTTGTGTTTTTCCTGGGAGAATCACAGAATGGTTTGGGTTGGAAAGGACCTTAAAGACCATCCAGTTCCAACCCCCCTGCCATGGGCAGGGACACCTTCCACTAGACCAAGTTGCTCAAAGCCTCATCCAGCCTGGCCTTGAACACTTCCAGGGATGGGGCATCCACAGCTTCTCTGGGCAACCTGTTCCAGTGCCTCACCACCCTCTCCGTGAAGAATTTCTTCCTGATGTCCAATCTAAACCTCCCCACTTTCAATTTAAACCCGTTACCCCTTGTCCTGTCACTACAGACCCTTGTAAAAAGCCCCCCAGCTTCCTTGTAGCCCCTTCAGGTACTGGAAGGTGCAATAAGGTCTCCCCGGAGCCTTCTCTTCTCCAGGCTGAACAAGCCCAACTCTCTCAGCCTGTCCCCATAGCAGAGGGGCTCCAGCCCTCTGAGCATCTTCGTGGCCTCCTCTGGACTTGCTCCAACTGGTTGAGAACTATAAGAGCATTGTCCTTAAGCCTGATAGGGTATTTGGGCCCTGCATTGTTGCTTTCCCTTTACTTCATGAATCCTCTCATTAAGACAATTAACAATTACCCATTTTCCCTTTTCTCCTCCGAGAACCCATGGGTGGAGGGAATGAAGAATGGCACCTTCTCCTTTTTCCTGTCCAGTAGATGTTTTCTCCCTTTTTACAATAGCTCTTCAATATCTCAAACATCCTTGCGTACCCAAAATACTTCAATTAGCATGTTTTGAGGTTATGTTTCCAGCTTTTCCTAAGGTTAACCAACTATTTAGGAATATGACATAGGGATATGTCCCAAGGCGGTATGGTTATGGGTAGCAAGGGATGTGAGAGCCTGTGGGCAGGGACCTAGAAGGGTTGTCATTTCTGATGGTCTGGGACTTCACTCCGAAAAAGTGCAGGATCGTGCTGAAGTAATAAAATATTTAAAAAAACGATGCCTTGCTGTGCTAAAGACACAACTTCTTGCCCTGTGCCAGGGCCTGGCACATGCCTACTGAGCATTCAGCACCCTCCGAGGGGAAGAGGATGATATCTGGATCAGAAAAACATACAAACAGCCCTGGCTAAACCAGAGACCCTCAACTATGTCAGTTGCACCGATAGCCGAGAAGAAACAATGGAAGTGGAACTCCCTTAGTAAGGGAGGAAGAAGCTGCTCCTGAGAGCCAGAGGGAGAATCACAAGAGACAGCCCATTGTGCAGCAGAGCAGTCACAAGGACAGCCAGAAACCCCCTGATCGCTAAGTGAACTGAGAGATAAGCAGAAAGATACCGGCCATCGTCCAGGTGAGCAAATTAACCGCTGGTTTCTCCAGTGCCGGGGTAGTGGGGCCAGTAGTCAGGAGTTTGAAAGGCCTGAGTGGCCACCATAACCAGGTGGAGCCCAAAGTCATGGACGAAATTAGCTCAATGGACATTTTATGGATATTTTACAGGGGTGGCCCCCGTAGACTAAGGGAATGATACCTGTATATATCTGTAACACACATCTCTAGTGTCTTATACATGAAAGGATATAGATATTAATTAGCTAAAGGCAATCTGCCTAAGTACACTTGCTTGTCTCCCTTGCCTTGGTTCCTTATCTATTTTCTGTCTATACTGTATAATAATTGTATAGTTTTCTGCTTTATGTATCACAGAATCCATTTCTCCATTATTTCTTATTAAAAATACTTAGGCTGCTCTGGGTGATGATAATGCATTGGTTCTTGAAGTTTTAAAATTTTCAACATGCCTTCAACACTTGCACAGGTAAGATGTTTAATATGGGCACCGTTTCAGGAAAGTTTGGGGAGAACAACTGTCTTACATACTTCACCAGCAGATTCTATGATGGTATTTTTTAATTTTTCAGGTGATTATTACGACGCAGCGTTGTTGCCTACCCATGAGATGTGGGGATATTTTGAATTCTTCTTCCTCTTTAGCCTGATTCCTTAAGAAAATGCAATTCATTCTTAT